TGGTTATAAAGTTGTCTCCTACAAGCATTTGTGTTTCTGCTATGTTTATGTGACTGTCCTCCACACCAGTAATGAATGCTTAAATGGACATGCTCTTTGTCTTAAAGGTGCCCACAGTTGAAAGGAACCAAAAAAAAATAGTTTCATATAGACAAACAATGATTTAGCTAGATATCATACTAAATTTAACTTAAAGGACTTGGGGAATAGTTAATAGTCTTGTGGCCTAGAGGGCTTGTGTCCAAAAGCTAGCTGAGGTGACTTTTAGAGTAAGTTTTGAAGTCTTTAATTCCACATGATTTTAATTGAAGACCCCAGAATTTGTGTGTTTCCAGTATGTTTGGAACTTTTTAAAAATAAAATAATAAAGTTCATTTTCATTCAACCCTAAGTTTTTGTGTTACATATCCATACCCTGTGGTTTTCTGTTTATATATTCTGTACCCTCATCAAATGTTAGTTTGGGGTTTCGTAAGAGACAGTGGTTTAAGTATCATTTACTTTACCCTTTTTCACATAGTGTGTTTTGTTCGGTTTTGGTTTTAAGGTTTCAGAGAATAGGATTGTGATATACAATCTATGTTAGAAAGAATTATAGTTCAGTCACCACATTTGTGTATAACTTTGAAAGTTAATACACCTTACTGAATTTTATCTCTGACTGAAAATCGGGTTTGCTAGATGGATATCCCAACTTAGAGATGGGAAAGGAGTGCAAAAAAATCCAACAGAGATAGGGAATAGATGAGAGAAGGTGCATCAAAAAAAATCCAACAGAGATAGGGAATAGATGAGAGAAGGTGCATCATAAGAGACTTTATATGACTTGAAGGAAAGCAGGGTAATAAAACTGCCATCATTTATTGAGCACTGTTCTAAAAGCAGTATCCCCGTTTGATCCCTCCACCAGTCCTATTAGATGAGTTCTATTTTTTCCCTTTGTTACAGGTGAAGAAATTGAGGTCCAGATAGATTAACTAAATTAGTCCAAGATTACGCCACGGGTAAATTGGGCCAAGAATTCTGTCAGTCTGACTGCACAGTGTATTTAATAGCTATAGTATGTTACTTGCCTCTATGACAGTATGAAATTAATTATGTCATTTAGCTAACCTTAATCTGAAAGAATAGTGTATACTTCAGCAATTTTAAACTCTAGGTTGAGGGAATTTAGCAAACTAAATAATTTTGAATATTGGCAGTTGACTTTATAGTAAGGTTTTATGCCATGTGGTAACAGTTTGTGCACCTACTGTCCAGTTTTTGTTTTATCTAAATACTTCTTAATCAGAGAACTACAAATGTCTTTAATTTATGTATAACTCAAAATTAAGAGTGAGTAAGGTTAAATGATTGTACCAAAATGCACTGCTACTTTGGGATATTAAGGATATGCTTTAAACAGAGATATTTCAATTTATTTCTAATTGGATGTTTAGTTACATTAAGAAATGGGGTTTTTGCAGTTATTCATAGATCAATTTTTAGCATTCATTCATGTACTCAGGAGGTAAGTTAGTCATGTAGGGGTAGTTTTTAAATATTGTACCTAATAGTTTCTGTATATTTATCCTGAAGAATTTGACTTAGCACATTTTAAAGGAGCCAAGTAAAAAAGGCAAGATAATCGATTTGTAACTGTAGGTTTGCAGCAAGAATGGTTTAAAAATTTAACAATTAATATTCAGACAAAGATAGATTAGGTTGTGTGATTTCTTTCCAACAGGAAAAACCAGGAAGAAATTATGAAGAAAAGAACTTTTGAAATGCCCACATAAAGATCTTAATTTTTTTTTCATATCATTATAAAATTGAGTTCACATTTTGTACAACTAATTTGCTATAGCATTGATAGGATTGGTTTTATTATTGTACTTTTTAAAATACCTAGAGTGGCAAATGAAGCATGCTAGTTTTTATCCAGCATTAGACACTTTCCAAACTGGAATGTTAAGAATGACTGAACAGATTTTGTGGTATGCCTAAGTTTTTACCCATTTTTTTATTTTCTCCATACTGGTGATTCTTCTAGGAGCATCTTCTAATTGGTTTTACTTTTATCGTTAAAAGAATAGAAATATACATAGACCACTTGTTTTTCACCCTTCCCATTCTTTGTGTCTCCTACCAAGTAAAAAACTTTAATTATAGCAGTTAATATATTTGGCAAAGTAGCTTAAATAGAAATTTGTAAAGTTCTATATAGTTATGATTTTATAGTGTGCCTCCCATTAAGCTTGTACAGACTACCACTTTGTAGCTTTAAGAATGACCTGGTTTATGGTACTTATTGTGGCATTATTGTATCAACTACATTAAGAATTTTTCCCCTTATTTTGAACTAACATCCCTTTTTCATTGAACTTAAGATACCATCAACAGTGAGATACTTGATTTTATTAAGTGCCTTGAAGGAGTGGGAGAAAACTTAAAATGAGAAGTATGAAATACTCTAAAATGAAGCTGTGACATTAAAGGGCTATTCCATCCATGTGAAGCAAGAAGTGAACCTACCGTACAAAGGCAGACAGCAAAGGAACTTGAATGTCAACTTTAATTGTTGGACAGAGGGAGGGAAAACTCATACTGAGGATTTGAACCACAAAGCAATGTTCATAAGCTTGCATCCTGGATTCCCATTATCAATGTGGTATTAAAACAAAATCATAGGTAACTTAGAAAAATTTAATGGTCTCGAATTGATGGTACTGACTAGTGGCTGGCCTAAGTCAACACAAATCCTCTGAAGAATTAAACTTAAAAGTCAGATGGCTTGAAATAATGCATCTTCCTATTTATTATGTATATCCTAGAATTAATGAAAAAATGGGGAAATCATAACATTCTTCACAAATTCTTCAGGCTTTGGGAAATAGGCTTTCCTGTGATGCTCAGGCTTCTGGAAGAGCTCTTAATTTATTAAACTCTTACTAGGTTTTCATAAGAAACATAATATTTTACATATGTATGTTTTTCTTTGGTTTCTACTATGTTAACACTACAGTTTTGGCTTAAAATTATATTGATGATCTATTTAAGAATATTCAGTTGTAATACTAAGAATCTTTCAAATATTTGTCAGGTTGAGAAAGCTTAACTAGTTGCCAACCCTCAAAATTTACAGATACTGAGTGAGGCTTTAACTTTTTATTTGATATTAAACCTCATTCTATGACTATTACCATGAGTTCTAGTCTTAAGGCAAGTTTTTGGGATGTTTTAAAATTTGAAGTATGGGAAGAACAATTAAGGAAACTATCAAACTGTTCTTTAATACTTTTCAAATATTTGCTATAAATTGCATTGGCTTGGTCTGGTAAACTTTTGTTATATGTAAGCTTTTTTGTGCTTTGTTTTTTAAATGGGATTTGATTGTGTGTCTTATGAAGTTAGAGTATTTTGTTTTGAAATCACACTCATTGTACTACTACTGTATGGAATGTTCTCTTGCATGATGGAGATTTTATCCTGCTTAATGTTTTTAATTCTTATGAGAAAATATTTCATGTTGTTTTTCTCTTACATTTTCAAACGTCAGTTTCCCAATTTAGCTTAGAATTCTAGTTTTTTGATATGTTACTATCTTCTGATGTTATAGACAAGCCATTCCAAATAGCAGGCTCTTTCTGTCTGTTGCCCATCGTGTTTCCCCACATAATCAGTTACTTAGTATCTAAAGAAGTCAAACATACTTTGTTATTAACTTAAAGCAGAATTAATTGTGAGAATTAATTGTGAGGGTTAATAGTAATGTCTCTTGAAGGTGGGGAAGAGAGAGAACAAGCTTGATACTCGATTGATTTTTTTCCCCCTTTATGTGTACATATTTCTATAATTCTGTTAGTCTGGGTGGTAGAGGCTTGTCATTGCTTTTCTTTTCAAATTCTGTACCTTTTCTTTTTAAAAAAAGCTATTATTTGACTATATATTCTAAGTCTTAGTCAAACATTTTCTGTCAAGTTCTTGTAATGTTTAAAAGTGTATTGAATGTTCTATGGAACATAAAGCTTTCTGTGTGTTTTTAAATACATTAATACCATGCTACTTCATTTTGATAGATAGTACTTCAGATTATTTTTGCTTCATGAGTTGACTTCCACAAGTAATAGAATACAGTGTGCCAGTGTTCTGTCTACCTCTAGTAGGCTTTATATGTTCCTGTTGACTAATATGCTTATTTTTTGGTTGTTTCTGTTTCTTAAGTTGTTCATTTAATTTCACACTGTTGAATAACTCGTTACTAGTTACAGTACCTATGATTGTTGCATATAATTTTTTTTGTCCCTCCATGTTTTCTTAGATTTGTTTCATATTAAAATCAAAATTATAATTTTTGGATGAGCATTGGGTCATAATCTTTTAGAAATTTATGTTAATCTTCATGATTTTTATTCATACTTAGTAGTGAAGAGTAAGTCATAGATTTGGATCGCAGCTACTGGCAGACTAGATTAAGCTCCCAAACTAGTATTTCTTTCTTCAGATATTCATGTGTGTGATAGTTACTAAGTTTTTCTTTACAAGAGAGGGCAAAGAATTTATCTTAAAAAAATTTTTTTTCTAAGTCACTGAATTTTAAGCACCTTTGATCTAGAATTTGAAAAGGACCAGATCACTATAATTCATCTAAAAATCAAAAATGAGAAATACTGAAAAAAATTTTCTGTTGCTCCAAAGAAGATAGAAAAATGAGTGTGGAGTTAAAATTAGAAGAAAATTAATATTCTCAAATTTAGGTTAGAAATGACAGTCTAAATTTTAAATTTTATTTGCTAAAATAATTGTGCTTACATGTAAATTGACATAGGTGTTAAAATAGATCATTGATAAAATACTTCATTCATTCAACAAGCACTTACTAAGCATACTTATCCATATAGATAGTGTTCACTGGGTTTTAATCTAAAGTTGTATGTATTATCTTTAATAACCAGATAGATTCTTAAAGTCATACAAAGTGCTTTGATCTTATATAATAACCTTTTAAAATTTTTTTCCAGATGCCTGGAATGATGTCTTCAGTAATGCCTGGAATGATGATGTCTCATATGTCTCAGGCTTCCATGCAGCCTGCCTTACCGGTAATCTTGTAAAAATAACTATTTTCTGTGATTTTCTGATTGCTTTTATGTATAAAATAACACACATGTATTTTATAGGCAATTTTGCTAGCATTTTAAGTACCTCTAGAGTGCTATAATGTAAGATGGCATTACAATGTACTCTTATTTTTAGTTTCTTGAATAATAAGCATTTATATTTTTTCCTTAAATTATAATAAATGTACCTTAGTTATTCTACATTAAACAAGACTAGAATACTAAAAACAATTTGTCAGCCAAGAATATTTTATTGGTCTAGTAGAAGTCTAATCTTAAAGCATAGGCATTTGCTTTACTGAGTGGTAATTAAAAATTGATACTATGTGACTTAATACTTGATCCTTTATACAGAGATCAGAAGGCTTCATTTGAAATCCGTATTTCATGAGACTTCAGCTATGTATGGCACATTGCTTAGAAAATCATTTAACAGCCTTACCATCTTTATTGGGTAGTACAGCAATATATAATTCATTATGATATTCAAATTAGCATAACTTCTTTATTACCTGATAACCTAGTGGTTGTAATGAATAAATGTGGCATACTCCACTGGGGTGGTGAGTTTGCAGTGTTTTAATCCATAATTCCTTGGGCCAAATATATTCCAAAACTTTTTAATATTATAATGTTATACATTATATATATGACATCATATATAAAAATTTCCCATGGCATCTTGTACAGTGCCCTGTGATTTCTAGTACTATTTCTACAGCAGAAGTTACAGGTAGTTATTCTGAAATGGGGTAAATAAAGAATGTAAAGAGCTCATGTCATTCAGGGCAGATTTTGCCACTGTAATTAGTCTTGGTGCCAAACTTGAAAAACTTGTTTTTCAAAGCATTTTGTATTTCACAATTGTGGGTAAGGGTTGTGGATCTGTATATAATAATCATGTAACACTTAGATTAAACTGTTTCAGCAGCCCCAGGTTACTGATTCTTTTCTTGTCTTTTGTACAGATTATAGCATACTCAGAGAACTGAAACCACTAAAATTTTCTAAGCATCTTTGAGTCCGTGGCTTGAGAATTATATACATAGAGGGGACTGATTGACAGCTTTATGAGAAATTTTTATAAAATACAGTTTAAACAGATGAGTGTTACTAATTTCATTTTTCTTCTTACAGCCAGGAGTAAATAATATGGATGTAGCAACAGGTATGTACACCATTTATGGTGATATATATATATATATATATTATACTTCATTTAGACAATAGCATAGCATAATGAGGAATAAAAGCAGTGTCACTTGATGTTAATAATTAGCTACTTATTTTTTCTTTTCTTTTTTTAAAAGCAGTGGAAAATAGAGATAGCATTAATAATTGAATGCATAATATAATTTGGGGTCAGGAGTTCTGCTTTACAGAGAGATTGAATTGATCTTGAAGAAGTTGAATGATCTAAATATTTATTGTTTCCAGTGGTCCTTATCAACATAAAAGGTACTCAGATATTTGAATGAAAAACTAGTTGAGTCCATATTTTTACTCAGCAAACATTGTGGAACAGGGTAGAAACTCTAGTTTATATTCTCACTGACCTTCTGGACTACTTCATTTTTCTGTTACCTGCTTTGTACTTGTAGTTATTGGAGTTTGTAAGCCCTATGGTAATTTGTTTTTTTCATCAAGTTACCAGTAACCCCTTTGATTAGTGTGGTTTTAATATACAATAGTAATGCCTCAGTTAGCCATGAGTAAGTAACAGGTAAATTAGTATTCCAGGTGCTGAACACATATAAATATTCACATAAATGATACACATAAATTAGCATTCCAGGTGCTAGATGTTATACCATGATTATGCCAAAACATTTTCTGTTTTAAACATTAAATTGAAAAATGTTCAAAATGCTGTGTGCTTTCCTGCAGGTTTATATGGAGCACACTGATCTTTTTAAGATGGTTCACAAATTTCATTATTTAAACTGAAATGCTGTTCTTATTACTGTAAATAATCCTGGAACATTACATTAAATTTTTTCTCTTTTTTTGAAGCATAGCGGACGTACAATATCCTATTAATTTCAGGGGTGTATCATAGGGATTCAGTATTTTTATGCATTAGAAAGTTGTCCCCACAATAAGCCTGCTTACTACCTGTCACCATACAAAGGTGTTACAATATTATTGACTATATTCCCTATGCTGTACATAACATCCCCAACACTATTTTATAACTGCAAGTTTGTACCTCTTAATCGCCTTCTCCTATTTCACCCAACCCCTCCCCTGGTAACCAGCATTTGTTTTCCTATATCTGTGAGTCAGAAAAAGACTATACTTTTTTTTTAGTTACTTTTAAAGGCTTTGAGTATACCCCTGATATTCCATAGTAGTTACTATTGCTGTCAGTATATATGTACTTTATTTTGTTTCCTTTTTACATTCAGTCTTTGTTTTCTTACTTGCCTATAGTTTTAAATTACTAGTTTCTAAAGTTAAAAGTTCATTCATGTGAACATTGTGTTTAAGGTACCTTTTCCCCTCTGTGTTAAAGGGGTTTTTGGTAGTGACTTGGGGCGGTACTTATGATAGAACTTTTTGCAATGAGAGAAGTGTTCTGTAATCTGTACTGTTGAATAGAATAGTGACTAGCCACATGTAATTATTGTGAACTTGAAATGTGGCTAATGCAAACAAAGAAGGAACTGAGTTTTTAAATTTTATTTAATCTTATTTAATTTACATATTAACTTAAATAGGAGTGTGCAATGGCTAGTGGATACTATATCCCACAAGTCTGAAACCTGGGCAGTTGAAGGTGCCAGAAATCAAAAGCAAAGGCTCAGAGGTCTGAGACATCATTGTATACTTCAGTAGTATAGTAGAGAAAGAGAAATTAGTCATGGTATAATACAGTATACTTATTATACGTATAATACAGTAAGAAGAGAAAAGGCAAAGGTGTGAACACTTTTCAAACTGGCTCCAAGTGAATTTCATTTGCAGGTTGAAAGTGCAAAGTGCCACTTAATTGTAAAAATTGTTTGCACTTAGATGTTTCTTTTGTGGGAAAGAGCAAGCATGTAGGTCATAACAGACAGTATTAGGATATTTAGTATAGAAAGATTGAGGGGGAAGAAATAGTATGAAAAAATATTGAAAAACTGCTAGCTGAAGGAGAGCATGATATATCACATTGTAAATGTTCCTCTTTTGTTTTTTAGGCACAGCATCTGGCGCAGTAAGTACCTCTGGAATATATTTATTTCGTTGTATTTGTTTAGCCTTACTACATTGATCTTTATATCTGTTTTAGAGCTTGTCTACTAAATTGAACCCTTTTCCTTTTTTTCTGTGCCTAAGGTTGAAAAATTGTTGGCATGACTTAAAATCTAATTTTGATGTGACATAATGACAGAAATGGGAATCATATTTATATCAGTTTTTGCAAGGGTTCGAATTCTCCCCATTACAATTAGAAGGGAAACAGAACCTGAGGTTACACAGTAACTAACTTGGTCATTTTCAGTTAAGTGTTGCATTAGAAAGTACTTCTCTGTGTACAACAGTTTATTTATTCTTTTTTATTAGTGTAAACCCAATGAAGACTTTTCCTAAGGTAGTAATTTAAAATACTTTTTTGTTTGTCCCTTCCTTCACACAGTATCAGAAAGACAAATAGAACATTCATAATTTCCAGATTTTCCTTAGGCTAGGGGAGAGAGATACTACTGTGCCACTGTTTGTTTGTTTTTTTCCTCAGTATTTCATTTTAAGATAGTAGTGTTCCAGTTCTTTTTCTTAATGCTTATATATACAGTATGCTGTTGTACAGTTTGATGGTGTTTTTGGAAAATAACATAAGCCTGAGGTCTTCCTTAAAAGTCTCCCATTCTTTAGCCTTAGCTGTTTTTTTTTCTTAAACATCACAGAGTTTTATTCTATAGCATCTTACTACGCTGATGGACAGTGACTGTAATGGGGTATGTGCAGGGGGACTTGATAATAGGGGGAGTCTAGTAACCATAATGTTCAAGTAATTGTACATTAACGATATCAAAATAAAAATAGTAAATTAAAAAAATTTTTTTAAAGATCAAAGAGTTTACATGTATAATCTTATTTAATCAGAAAAACAGTCCTGAGAGATAGCTGTTATCCCTGTCTATATTACAGTTGAGGAGATGCTGAAAGCTGTGAATTGACTGCAAGTACGTTAATAAGGGGAGAAAAACTTTTGATTGTGAACTTATTTAAGTATTTTAAAGTTAATTTTACATTTTGCTTTCAAAGTTGAATTGCAATAAAATACCCATTTGGTAATTCTTCCTTTGTTAGTGCCTGTTTTTATGTTTGCCTATGATAGCTTCATGTTTTTCCTGCTTATTTAAACAATGTGGGAAGAAAAGAGGCAGACATACGTTAAAAAGAAGGAAGTAAATTTCACTCTAAGTTTTTATACTGTGAGGAAACCACCACCATTAATATTTTGGTTGCTTGGGCAGCCTTTTCCTCTCACTTGATTTAAGTGTCATTGTTGTCATATATTAAATTCTCACATATTCAGTATCCATTTCTGGGTTTTCTTTTCTAGTATTTCTATTTTTGTATTTCTAATCCAGTATTGTTCTTGCTGTGATTAGCTTTAGTATTTAACAGGCATGTCTTTGTAATTTCTCCTTTCATGTGTCCTTAGCTATTCTCATATATTAGCCTATGAATTCCCTACCCTGCCCCCAAAAATCCCTCTAAATATGCATGTACCCAGGCACAGTCAAAAGACAAAAGTATGTTTTTAATCTGGGATTATGCTTAATTCATTTAAATTTTAGGAGAATTGACATTTTCATACTTTTCTATTAAACTTTCCCATTCAAAAATACTGTGTATCTGTTTGAACACTTGCTATTGTTCCTTTTATTCTTTCTTTTTAGATTTTAGGTATACAAGTCTGAGTTACTTGTACTCTTCAAGTTATGATCATTACCTTGATCCATAGAGAGTTCCTTGTATTTTTTTCCCTTTATTCTCCATCTTAACTCCCATCCATCTTCCCCAATGCATTCTCAATTGAATTTATGTCCTAAGATCTGTATTTATTTGGAGAAGCTTACGAAGTATTTTTTGTGTAGCTTTGTTTTTTGTTCTTTTTTTTTTTCATCTTTATTTTTTATCTTCAGTTCTTTATTTTTTTAATTGATGTATAATTGAGATATAATGTTATTTTCAGATGTACAACATAGTAATTCAGTATTTGTATACATTGTGAAATGATGACCACAATAAATCTAGATAATGTCCATCACTGTCTATAAATTTTTTTTCCCTTATGTTAAGAACTTTTCAGATTTTCTCTCTTAGCAACTACAGTATTAAGTATAGTCACCGTGCTGTACATTATATCCCCAGGACTTACTAATTTTATAACTCAAAGTTTACACCTCTTGGAACCCTCCTCCCCCCTCTCCTACATTTCTCCTACCCGAACACCCTTCTCTGGCAACCATCAATCCATTCTCTGTATCTATGAGCTTAGAGTTTTGTTTCTTTTGTCTTATACATTCTGTGTATAACTGAGATATTGTGATATTTGTCTTTCTCTGATTTATTTCACTTTGTGCCCTCAGAGTTGATGCATTCTGTTACAAATGCAAATTCATTTTTTATGACTGAATAGTATTTCATTGCATATACATACACAGACATGCGCGCACGTCTTTATCCATTCATCCATCAATGGATATTTAGGTTATTTCCATATCTTGGCTATTGTAATTAATTCTAGAATGAATATAGGGGTGCTTCTATCTTTTTGAGTTAGTCTTTTCATTTTTTTCAAAATATATACCCAGAGGTGGAATTATTTTAGATAACAGCCCTTTTGTCAGATACTTCTTTTGCAAATATTCTAGTTTGTGGCTTGGCTTCTCATTCTTGTGATTGTGTCTTTGGCCGAACAGTTTTAATATTAATGAAGTCCAGTGTATCAATTACTTCTTTCATGGTTTGTGCCTTTGGGTGACTTTTTATAAGATACACTGTTTTACATTGTGAAGAGAAAACAGTCTGTGAGATGTTGATTTTTTTGCAGTTATTTAGAGCTTCATTTATGTTTTATTTCAAGACCAATTGTTAGGAATATTTTGTGTGCTGTTAATTTGAAGTTATGTTTTGTTACTTTGTACCTTGGCATATCTTTCATATGCTTGATCTACCTAAAAGAAGGTGTGTTTAAATTTTTCACCTGAAAAGATAAATGATCCTTTTCCCCTGTGTTTTTCTGTTGTCACTCTGTATTTCAAGGAGAAATTGCTAAATGCATGTATATTCAGGATAAGGTTTTTATCAGTATATAAGACCCTCTTTTCCATTGTGGTTTTTGCTTTAAATTCTGTTTAAGTATGACAAACATCTATCATAGCTATTTTTAATTTATTTCTGCATTATAAAACTTCTTATTGGGAATAGGATAACTTTGCCATTTTATTACTGCAAGCTAGTTTTTATCAATTTAAAGATTTTTTTTATCCTTTTCTTACAGCCTAGGTTACCAAGTCTCTGGATAATTAGAATCTTTTTTTTTAACTAGATTTCATTTGAGTTTTGGCAATATAGGCAAGAGAATTTATTTCTTTCCCAATATTCATACCAATCATTTAATTTTATTGCCATCCTGTATTTGTTTAAGTATGTGATTGTAGACTCATGATTAATTAGGTCATGATTTTTAATGAAAGTGGCTTTAGAATGATTTTCAGTTTTGATAAATTCCCTTTTATCACTTAGATTTTTTTCCTCCTTTTATCTGGATGTTTTTGTTTTTATTTTTGAATAGTTGGGATGAGTTGTCCCAATTTTTAGGATGTGATTTGATCATACCAGATTTATTACTGTGATCACGTGGTGGTGGTTTCTTTCTTCAGTTTGTTAATAGAGATCTCTTTTAAGATTTTCCAATATTGAACCACTCTTGTACTTGTACAGTAAATTCTCCTTGGTGAAAGTGTGTACATTGCAGGATTCTCTTGGTTAATATTTTATTTAAATTCTTATATTTATATTCATAAGTAACATTGCCTGTTTTACTTGGTATCTTTTCTGTTGAGTTTTGTTGTTGCTAAAGAGTTTTTCATCTTTTTCCATGATCTGAAACATCCTATTTTATGTTTTATCATATTTTAATACCAAAATTTTCTGTTTTTAAGGTTATATAGTATTCTGTGAAATCATCTCATTAGGTATCTCCCAGTTGTTTTGTGGTAATTAGAATATTCACATGTGATGTGTTTCTTTGGATGAATTTTTGGTTAAGTAGTGTGGGAGGAAAAAATTTCCTCTATATTTTGAAATTGGTTGGAAATTTTCTGTCTGTTTATGTTACTCTAATCTTATATTTTGTCTTTTTCTTATTTTCCCTTTTTAAAACAGTGAGGGGATTTTTCTACCTGTTTGTGTTTTGGTTGTTTTTTTTTTTTTTTATCTGTTTTGGTTTCATTGACTTCGGCTTATACATTATATAAATACTAATCTCTATTAATACTAATCTGTATATAAATGCTTATCTCTATTACTTATACATAACTGTCTTTGAATTTGCTGGATTTATTCACAACCTAATTGTTGACTAGCTTTTTTGAATCAAAATTGTTAGCTATCTTGATAATTATACATATGCATTTTTTTTCTTACACAGTTTTCCAGGGGGTTTTTTGGCCTTCTAAATATTTTCTGTATATATTTTGCCATTACATCATCTGTTACAGCACCTTATTTTAACACTGCATATTAAGACATTTTCCATTTCATTAAAAAGTAAGATCTTTAGTCTATAGTATGAATGGGCCATAATAGAACTGTTTTCTTATGGGTTTATATTTACTTATCTCTTAATTTTTTACCATTAAAAGTAATTTTATAGAGACCATCATTGACTATCTTTGCAGTTATGTAAATGGGATTTCATAGAGTTAAATTTCAGGCTCAAGACATTATGTTTACATTTTTTATTCTGATAACTAGATTGCCCTTCAGAGAAATTTCATTCCAACCGGTAGTATGAGAGTGCCCTTTTCTTTACACCCTTTTAATATCGTGTATACTAATAGTCTTTGTCATTCATCTGATGAAAAAAGTTTTCATTTTAATGTGCTCTTCCTTGTTAAGTAATAAAGTTAATTATCTAGTTATATTATCTGTATTGTGTTCCATTAATGGCCATGTTTACTTTTCCATTAGATTATC